AGACCGTGGCTTCGGAGCCGATACAAACTGCGCATCACCGAACCTTTGGTTCCATCGGTATTTGGACGGAAGCATCGAACAAATTGGAGAAACATATGGATTATACACTAGTGAGTTGGAAAGAAATACCTTCAAATCACCACTGTCCATCTTGGTTGAACAGCCATGGATGTCAGAATTGTGGGACCACTATCCAAGCAATGTTTGTCAATACCTGGTGGAACTCGGAGACAAATCCACCCGCTTGAATCCAGCAGCAGCCCACTCTCTGGAAAGATCGAAAAAATGAACACTTCCTTTGAAAAGGCTGCTGTTCACAATCAAATCTCTTCCTTCTTTCATCTTCTCATCAAACACACCCCACAGCTTGTGCTTGTAGATATAAGCCCATCTCCAACTCTCACCAAACAACTTGCAACTACTCCAAAACCTACTCCAAAAGCCTTTTGAACGGAATCCAAAGCTCCTCTGTCTCCATACATGTCCACATATACCCTGCATCTGCCCATGGTCTGGGTGCCATACCGTCCAGCGTGCCCACGGCGCGGTCGTAGTGCTCGGTCCGCCTTTGTGGGAGACCCAAGAACCGGAGGAGGGCTTCAGCCATGGGCCTGTCTGTGAGATCTACACCATCTACACCACCTGACGTCATGGTGAGGTAGATGGCAAAGACCCTGTCGGATAAACAGGTCTCCGGTCTCCACACCATGATTAGTGGGAGTTGTTCCGGAACGTTTCTTGACCTTCTTGGGGGAAGAAATACATGGAACACATCTGAGAACCACACATTTCAGCTTCTTACATTTCCTGAGTTGGTCTCATGGCCTTCCCCAAATCAACACGTTGTGTGAAAACCTTGGGACATAATATGGGTGTGAGACTAGGTGTCAGGTTGATATCAGAGGATTCAAGAGGAATGTATTATTATGATCATTAAAGGAATGGCTGGCTGACCTGATGGTGTAGAGTAAAAATCCGTAGTAAAACAACGGCTCTTTGGCAAAGACCATTAAAACAATGGTTGTTCGAACCCTAGGATATATATGTATGTTTATTATATATGTATCACATGTACATCGGATTGAAAGCGAAGACTCATAATAGAATCTTCTAGAGTCTGAAGATGTCTAGAACACTCCAGTCTACAGCGATCTCCCTTCTGTCCACTGACTCTTCAAATAGCTCTGTCTACTTGAGAAGGACTTCACTATAGTAGCATAACTTGGATTTATCCTATTAGCTGGGCCCCGTGGATGGTTCAGTGGATGATGCCTTGTCCAAAAGTTGTGATTTGCTTCTTTACAGACTGTTACAGGTAAGAACGGACAGACCAGCATAACTGTACGTGGTCGACCGATTCATCCAACCGCCGTCGACCAATGCGTCGGTCTGCGTGTCTGGCCCAGTCGGTCTGAGTGTCCCCAGCCATCTGCCCTCTTGAGTGCAAGGCCGACCTTGCTCAAATGGGGGTTAAAACGGTCAAGGTGGGAAAATTCAATAAGTAACACGTAGTAAAACCAGTCCAAATGGCAAGACAGGAAGGCAGTTGTTGATAACGTGTATGATCTGAAAATGCTGTCTTTCACTTGGATGTCTAGTAAAATGCATTTCTATTTTTTGTTTTAGAAATTGAAAGGGACACCGCCAGCTCGACCAGGGGAGAAACGCAAAATCCCTTGATTGACAAGCAAACGTTGTCACTGGTTCTAACAGCTCCCCGGGATCGTGTCGGAACACCAAATGTCAACACTTAAATGGAAGCTACAAATCCACACAAAAAAAAAGAACGCTAGGACTCAGCTCTCACACATTGTAGAGAAGGACTTAACAAACACCTTTCTCCCCAAAGAATACAGTCTTATCACAGCGGGCATACTTTTTGTCCGTACAACTTCCTCTGAATCGAAACTCACATGTCCATTGAGGACAAACACGTCCCGAAAAACTCACACGGACCCGGGTCGGATGGCACCCTGAGAGACTGTTTTCCTCTACGAAACCATTGGTTTTTGGTGGGTGAATTTGTGAGTTTTTGGTGGGGTCGTTACAGGCTAACGTTACAGGATGATGTGAAGATGACAGGGTCGTCTGTCTGTCCGGACCTGACTTATGGGAATGACACCAAAAGACTCCAAGATCATGTAGACTCTTGAGGACCATCAACCCCCCAAGCTTGAAGAGCATTTTCCAATTCAACTGGGAGGGCGTGATGGTCCTCAAGAGTCTACATTACGAGGCGTCCTACTTCGATTGGACCATGTCGATGGGTCTGGGAGGGTCTGGTCCGATGAAAAATCCCGGGTGAGTCGAAGAAAACAGGTTGAGTCATCCATCTACTGACTACATGTCCAGATCTATCCAGGACTATCCAGGAATCAAAGCACCTCAAACATCACTTCTTCCTCATCTATTGCAGCACGCTCGGGACCAGGACCCGCCGGTTCCGCGAGTGCTTTTCCCCTGCTGGGCCTCCCTGGCCATCTCGCGTGGCAGGGCGCCCATCATAGCCATCTCGAGCGCTGAGACCTCACGTCAGTCGTCATGAATCGAAGTGAAGCGACAAGTCTTCTCATGTCTTCCTATGTCTGCCATGGACTCCACTTCAGTTCGTTCAGTGTGTCACCACGCTGAGGACGTCGCCCAACCACAGAGCTGTTGAAGTCGCGCGATGTTGCCATGTATCCGGGAAACGCACAATTGTTTGTTGGTTGGAGGCCATTGGCTACTAGGGTGGAGGCGACAAAGACAAATCATGACATACTTACCGCACAGCATCGTCTGATTTCGTGCTAGGGCTCCGGACACTCCATGAGTGGCCAAGCTCCACTGCCCTGAGATCAGTTGCTTTGGCGGAACATGCTGAGGCTCTCGGGATCTGGGATATGACATGACCATGATGCGATCAATCTGTCATTAACATCATGAACTCAAACGGTTCACATTTATTGAATTCACATGTTCTTGAATTCAAAAGATTGTCCATGATTGCTCTTATATGCTCTTATATCCCTGTGGACACACATACACATACCCTTGTATCGAGGGTGATGGACCCTTTGTTACAATTAGGCGCTCCTGCAAAGTCCAAGTACGTAACGAACCCGAGAAGGTTCAGTCCCTGGATTCTGGGCCGAGCATAAGCATCCATCCCTTCACCACATCTGGGTTCAGTCATGGTTTGAAGTGGTATCAGTCGTTGGAGGCCATCACTGGTAGGTTGGAGGCCATCGCTATTAAGTCTCCGAAGACTCTGGACTTCCGGTCGAAGACTCTCTCCGGTTCCCCCAACCCCAAGGCCTTGGGCGTCCTCTCCCCATCCTCCAGGGCACCTGGCGTTCGGGTTCCCGAACGCCCGAGGTCCGGGGGAACAGGCTCCTTCCTTGTCCCACAACACGAGGGCGTCACCCAGCGGGTATACTTATTATACTTGGAGTATTACTGGGAGATACTGGAAGTCTAATTCCAGCAGCTTAAGTATGATTAAGTTGGAGTATGACTGAGGGAGTATCACTTGGAGCCTTAAGTAATACTTCCAGCAGCTCCACGTCATACTCCACCTTCAGTTGGACTATGACTGGGATGATCCATCGGACCGGAGCCGGATGGATCCATTGGCCACCCGATCCGTCCGTTTTTGGGCGAAGGGTTGGGACCGGAGCTCGGGCGAGCTCCAAAGAGGTTTTTGAAGGGTCTGTGGATTGGGAACCCAGACACGACCTGTTTGGGACTGCCATAGAAGCCGAGAAACGGCCAGGGTGGTTTTGGGGGACCATGTAGGAAGATATTTCATACATGGAGTGTCTGGGGAATAGGGGAACCCCCAGTTCAACCCCGCCTGGAAGTGAAGTAATAGACAAAAAGACCTTTGGTGGTGGAGTCCACGGTTTGACGTATATATATATATAAATACAATTCCAAAAGGATCTGCATGATTCCAATAGGTTTTTGCATGCCAAGCCGCACATTTGAGGCACTTACTTGATCCATTGACCTTTGGGCAACCAGGGCCGTCTATGACTGCTCTGTGAAGAGTAGCCCTAAAAACATATGAGTATCATATGAGGAAGCAGAGAGTCGCGTCTGTCGTCGTCGTCATCCGCTGATGGGGCGTCGCGTCCATCTTCTCCTTTTTCTCGCCAGGGAAACCACAGGGCCGGCGTGAAGTTGCGTGAAGTGACGCTGGAAGAGGAGGGAGGTGGCATGCATTGCCTGTTGGAAGGCTTCAATTTTCCTCCGTGCTACTCTAGTGGATGGAGAATAGATGGCACAATCCCCAAGTTGGGAGTTTTAATTTTGGACTCCCATCTAAAGGGCATCTTGAGGCCTGCGCCATCTACTCTGAAACCAGTGTAATTATGTGTTACAAAAGCATACCTATAGCTCGTGCTCTTGTTCCAACTTAGAAGTCACCATATAATCTTCTTTTCCGCCACGTGTTGATTGAAGAAACATATCGCCACCCTTGGGTGGGGAAGGACCATTCTGACTGTAGGTACACCTGAAAAATGATTTGGGTTTCGTGAAAACTCGCAACTTGATCCAGTTGAACTCGGAGATCAGAGATGATCAAAGTCCCTGTCCTGTTTGTCAACTCCCCTCCTCTCCCCGGTGACGAACGTACTTTGACTCCGCTTCTGTTCCACCTCGCGCCAGGCGTCACCTCGACGAACTGACTCGTTTGGACGGTGGCAGCCCAGGGCAACTGCAGGGGTGCTACATGGTCAGGCATCCTCAGATGTGTAAATAAAAAGCTACTAGTAACAAGGGCGTCGCTACTAGTATCAAGGGCATCGCTACTTGTAACAAGGGCGTCGCTACTAGTATCAAGGGCATCGCTACTTGTAGCAAGTGCATCGCTACTAGTAGCTAGAGCATTACTACTAGTAGCATACAATAAATATATACCATCTCTGATCTGTTGTCCTCATCACAGAGGTTTCCTCACACTACAAGCACCAGCTAATCATGTCTCCAACAGCTCCCCCGGCCGAAAAGCCCGTTCACTCGATGATACGCTTCACCGAGTCGTCCACAAGGACCCGATAGACCGTGTCCTGGCATCCGGCGGTCAAGGGGCCCCGCGAGCCTCCAGGACTCTGCTGCCCCGGGGGCTACTGCCCCGAGCGTCCTTGCTCCTAGTAGTGATGCCAGGAGCCCCTAGTAGCTTCTTGTTGTTAGTAGCGATGCCCTTTGCCCCTAGTAGCGTCCTTGTTACTAGTAGTAAGGCCAGGAGCCCCTAGTAGCTTCTTGTTGTTAGTAGCGATGCCCTTTGCCCCTAGTAGCGTCCTTGCTCCTAGTAGTGATGCCAGGAGCCCCTAGTAGCTTCTTGTTGTTAGTAGCGACGCCCTTTGCCCCTAGTAGCGTCCTTGTTACTAGTAGTAAGGCCAGGAGCCCCTAGTAGCTTCTTGTTGTTAGTAGCGATGCCCTTTGCCCCTGGTAGCGTCCTTGTTACTAGTAGTAAGGCCTAGCTTCTTGCTGCTAGTAGCGATGCCCTTTGCCCCTAGTAGCGTCCTTGTTACTAGTAGTAAGGCCAGGAGCCCCTAGTAGCTTCTTGTGCCTAGTACGGATGCCCTTTGCCCCTAGTAGCGTCCTTGTTACTAGTAGTAAGGCCAGGAGCCCCTAGTAGCTTCTTGCTCCTAGCAGCGATGCCCTTTGCTCCTAGTAGCGTCCTTGTTACTAGTAGTAAGGCCAGGAGCCCCTAGTAGCTTCTTGCTCCTAGTAGCGATGCCCTTTGCCCCTAGTAGCGTCCTTGTTACTAGTAGTTAGGTCAGGAGCCCCTAGTAGCTTCTTGTTGCTAGTAGGGATGCCCTTTGCCCCTAGTAGCGTCCTTGTTACTGGTAGTAAGGCCAGGAGCCCCTAGTAGCTTCTTGCTCCTAGTAGCCATGCCCTTTGCTCCTAGTAGCGTCCTTGTTACTAATAGTAAGGCCAGGAGCCCCTTGTAGCGTCCTTGCTCCTAGTAGTGATGCTCTTTGCAGTAGCGTCCTTGTTACTAATAGTAAGGCCAGGAGCGATGCCCTTTGCTCCTAGTAGCGTCCTTGTTACTAGTAGTAAGGCCAGGAGCCCCTAGTAGCTTCTTGCTCCTAGTAGCGATGCCCTTTGCTCCTAGTAGCGTCCTTGTAAGGCCAGGAGCCCCTAGTAGCTTCTTGCTCCTAGTAACGATGCCCTTTGCCCCCAGTAGCGTCCTTGTTACTAATAGTAAGGCCAGGAGCCCCCAGTAGCTTCTTGCTCCTAGTAGCGATGCCCTTTGCCCCTAGTAGCGTCCTTGCTCCTAGTAGCGATACGTTCGCAGCGTCCTTGCTCCGCTTGGTAGCGATGGCCTCCACCTAGTAGCTTCTTGTTCCTAGTAGTACCCGTGGCAGTTGTTTCCTGTTTTCCTCCCCAGACAAGGCTCAAGAGGGGAAAACAAATTCTGGGTGAAGCACTGGGGCGAGCGGACGTCCCTGACTCTTCCAGATCCATCCTCGGCGGCCAGAGCTCTGGCCTGCTGAGATGCGCAAACCTCCTGGAGTCTTTTCACCAGCTCCTTCCAGGTGGGATTGAACTGGACCATCCTGGCGGCTGAGGATGTGAGATTCTGAACCTGAGGGACCAACTGCTCTGCACCTCATTGGCACCCATTGGGGTCTATTGACCAACGACTATCCCCAACCGTGGGGGAGCCAATTCAATTGCAACTTGCTTGGGTCTAATAGCTTCTTGCTCCTAGTAAGGCCAGGAGCCCCTAGTAGCGTCCTTTGCTCCTAGTGGCGATGCCCTTTGCTCCTAGTAGCGTCCAATTTTTCATTGTCCACCCGGTCAGGGTCTATTTTCAGAGTCGCTGGTCCCTGCTTGACAAGTATCCTCAACCGGGTTGCCCACTGTGGCCGAACTAAGCGTGTTTTTGGCTGCGCGGTGCGTGATGTGGCATGTGACAGCTGGAAGAGCTGGGGTTGGGGACTTGGTTCGTAAAGGATCCAAGAGGGTTTACCAAGTTTATGATGAAAACAACATACTGTACTAATGTATAGCTTACTATAGCCAAATAGCATCTACAGTAATAGCCATGGCCTCCAACCTATGAGAACAACATTCACTCAGCCCCTTTGGATGACCATGAAATCCGAATACCGAGCAGGAGGTGGACTCCACCGCCATGGTTACAGTAATGTTTCAGGGAGTGCACACTGCACACCAACCATTCTTGGGGTGGTGCTGGTCATTCAGTCAGACTCCTCCGATCCTGAAACCCTGACAAACGCGTGGTCTTTTCTTGGCTTGACCGATGTTGGATGTACACTCCAAATCCACTTCTGGATGGCCATTGCAAAAAGCACATGAAACTCTCCCTCCGTGCGCACTCCAAAGGTGCATCTCTTGGGGTCGAAAGGAGCTGTGACCAGCGACTTTGACCTGGCTCCAACCTAGCGATGGCCTCCAACCTAGTAGCGGCCTCCCTGAACTCTGTATTACTGGCACGCTCGCGCACGCTCGCGCACGGCACGTACGCTCGGCGGCCTCAGGTAGCTGGAGGACTCGTTCCACATCCGGAAGGTGATGTAGTGAAAGGGCGACTCTGACCACTCGATCGCCTGGAGGATCCGTGGATCTCAGCTCGGATCTCGTTTTTCGGGTGCGGGGTGGGCCTTTGAGAAAGGCAGGTCGTGCGGTGAAGAGAAAAAGAAGAACCTCAGGGTGGGCATCTTCAGGGGGAGCTATTGGCCTTTCTTTCAGAATTGTGATCAGGGAAGCACTCATCCCCATCGACCGGGACATGTCTAATAACATCTAATACGTTATATACAGGGACAAAGGTGGTCCGGCCGTGAGTGAGTCTCCTCCGATTGTCGTCCACGTGTCATCAACGTACAAAACTGGGCCCTCGCTTTTGAACGACGGACAGAGCCGACGAACGAACAGCAGGAAGCGCCGATCCGGGGGGTCACTCCCACCATCCTCCGGTCGCTACGAGTGGACCGGCCTTGAAGGTCTTGGTCCACTCGTAACCTGCTTGACGCTGACAGAGCCGTGCTTGGTCGCTCCAGGAGCCCTCCGCGCAAGGGACGCGAAGGACCGGAAGAGGGGCTTTTTGCGAACACGGGCGGTGTTTCTCGGCTTTTCGGGGAGATCCCGGCATCTGGATGAAGGGACTTTGGGGAGATGCTTGAATGTTCTTGGGGTCGCCCCAGACCCAAAGAAAAGCCAGGAAGACAGATTAACTGTCAGATCCAGTTCTGTAGAATCGGATTGTATCGGACTACTAGCCAGGAGCTACGTTCGTAGCTTCTTGCTAGTAGTAATGGCTTGTATCCTAAGAGCGATGGCCTCCACCCTAGTAGCGGATGGGATGGTGTGAAGAATGAAGTCCATCTTTGCAAGGCAGATCAAGCAAGACATACGGGCAAGAAAGACTGCACTTTGAGGTGGTCTTGGAATGTCCTCTCTACCAACTAAGTGGAATCGAATTGGAGCCAAAGTTGAGTAAATTCAGAATCCAGTCTTCCGAAATGAATCAATTAGCATTTAGCAGGCAAGAAACAGTTCCTTGAGATTCTCAGGTCCCCAACGCTCCACTTCTTTCAATTTGAGCAAATCCGCATGAAAAAGGAGGTTAGAGGCGGCCTTCACATGGCGCCCTTGCCTTTCGCGGGAATCCATGGGGGGATGCTCTGACCTCAAATCATTTGACCACATTCTGTCCATGAAAATTGGACCAGAACATTCAGGTCTGAGACCGAAGAAACTCCGCGTTGCGGCTGGTTGATGGCGCTTCCAAACTTGTCGCCGGATTTGCCGGAATGCGTCTAAAAGGAAGGTGCACATGTCATCTGAATATGTACACCCAAGGGAGGGAACTGGCAATGGAGGGAACGCATGTCGCCCAGTTGTTGCCAGGAGTCGAACTGGGCAAGATTCCCGTTTGAGACCCAGACTATCTTCTGGGCCGAATCCTTCTCATGTTTCTTCCAGTCATCTACTTTCTTGGCTCATGATCACTTCGTACCCAAGCTATGCAGGTCCAAACAACGTTGAACCCCACTTACCAGCGCCCTCCAGGTCTGCTCTGGAGGAGTTTGGAGACTGTAAAGTGGCAGGTGGTGACCTGTTGGGTCTTGGTATACTCAGCCACTTGTTTGAAATCCTATTGGACCAACTCCCAAACTCCTCAAGGCCCTGCAACAAGTCTCCTTCGTTTCAATGGCCCTTGGTGAAAACAGTCCATCTGTCACTCCGCCAGGCGCTCCCACGCAAGCACCAGCCTCGAAGCGCTTCTTCTTCTCCTCATCCACGTGGTAGATGGAAACCAACTAGGCGCGGTTTCAGGTCCCCACGTGGAGCGAAAGTGTTCGGCGGGCAAGTGGTTGAAGCGAAGACGGGTGGCAAGCTTAGGCTGCTCCAAGTTTGGAACATACAGCACTCCTGCAAGTTATAGATGATACGTTGATATACATGTTGATACTGTTTTGAGGGGAAACAACGCACTGTTTGCACATATCAAATAGCAAGTGGATGAAAACTAATTAGTATATATATATATAACTAACAGTCTAACATAGTTTTAATCATTTCAGCACCCGCTCTTGATCACGAGCCGTGGAACATGTGAAGCAAAAACTGAGAAGGCCATGTTCGGGTCCAAAACGTCTTGGTCGACATGCGGCACTTGGTTGGCCTCCACCCTAGTAACGTCCTTGCTCCTAGTAGCAATGGCCTCCACCCTAGTAGCTTCTTGTTACTAGTAGCGATGGCCTCCCTGATAGCGTCCTAGCTTCCGGAAGTGGTCCCTCTTCTAGTAGCAAGGACTTTACTAGGGTGGAGGCTGAGGCCATTCCTACTAGTAGCTTCTTGCTCCTAATAGCGATGCCCTTTGTTACTAGTAGCTTCTTGTTACTAATAGCGATTCCAGGAGCTACTAGTAGCAAATAAATAATAGCTTGCGGAAGTGGTCCACAAATTTGTGAGCCCAAAATTTGAAGAAGCCGCTCCTGCCAAACGATGCAAAACGTGCATCACCCTCTATCAAACCATCATGGAAGTCGACAATTTCCTGGTTGGGTCTTGGGACTTTGCCCTTTGTCTTCTTCTCTTCCCTGCCTTTTGCAGAACTCATGCCATCCATGCATCCACCATATGCTATTCCGCTAAAACAAAAAAACATCCGCAAACACCAAGCGCGCGCAGAAACTCCAGCAAAGGTGCCAAGAAATCAGACTCTGGAGTGGCCAACTGCCGCGTCAGAGAGGCCCGGAGCCCCACGGGTGTGGGTTGTGGGCCCGTGGGGGCTTGGAGGCTTCAGAAGTGGCTTCGAATCTGGCTATTCACCAACAGGGTCGGTCGAGGATTCGACCCGGAGCTTTGAAGCTTCGACCTGTGTCGATGCATCCCCTCTGCATGAAATCCTCTGGGAGGAATTTCGCAACTGAAAGAAATCCGAAAAGAAGAACGGATGGACATCCTAATACCGATTCATGGAGAAAGTATGGAATCAATTGCTTGTATACCATCGAAGCCGCTGGTGGAGAACTAGGCAACTCTGAGAGCTCTGCCAGTATAACCAGCTTGGTGACACCTTTCGAGATGTCTTCTCAAAAGCTTACCGCGCCAGTCAAGCCTTTGAAGCTATGCTTCAGCCACGCAGCTGCGCCCCGTGGCCCCCCATGGTCCCCCGTGGCCCGGATCAGCGCCTTGGCACGTCTGCAATAGGTGCCATAGCAGGTGCCCCAGTACATCCCCCCGGCGATGTAGAGAAGATCTGAGCGGCCCAAACGAGCGCCCAGGTGCGCCCACGCCGCGCACCGGAAGCGCGCCCATTCAATGCGGTGGGGAGCGGGGAATGATTGAAATGAGGAACCGAAGCAGGGGAAGTGTTTGGGGCAAAAAAAGGTATTACCACTCATACCCAAAACCGTCTTTGAAGGCACAAGATTGCGACGTTGCGGAGGGTCTTGAGATGTCTTGAGTCGCACTTTCACCCACTTAAGACCGGTTTATACAACCTGTCCCAACTTCCCCCACGGCCAGGCCCGGCGCACCCCGTGGTGGGCCGCTTGTGGGTGGCACCGTGCGGCCCGGCCCCAGAAACAAACCCTTCAGCACCGGTGCAGCCCAGCCCTCGTGCGTCGTCCGTCGTGCGTTCCAAGCGCGTTCCGAGGGGCAAATCTCGGCCAAGTCCAAGTCTTCCCACCACTCGTTGAAGGCGGTGAGGTTCATTCGCCGCAACAGGCGCATCTGCGGTGAGGTTCGTTTAGCTCCAGCACCGGGCAGTGAGGTTCATCCGTGTGGGTTCTTTTTTGGGGGTGGGCTCAGAAACGCGGAGGTTTATGGCGGTTTCAGTGCACTGCTTGGAGGGGGGAAAAGAAGTTGAGGTTTGAAGAGGCCACTGGCAGTGTTTCTCAGGACTGGCGGTGGAACTCCCCTCAAAACCCGTGCATCAACACCTGCCTGCTTATCAATTATATATATATATTATACTTATACTTTGGATTACCTACAGATTCCCTCTCTGATCTATATATATATATATATCGACTGAATGTAGTTATCACCTAAAATGTCCCGCATGCATGCAAGTATTCGGCAACAAATGCTCTGGGAATGTTCTTGAAGAGTGACATCATGTTGAGCTTCATAATTAGGGCAAGCAAACGACTAGAAAAGCCATAGCTAGTCACGGTTAGTCCAGGTCCTACTTTGTTGAGTATACGTATAGATCCTGTTGATATAAGCATAGACCAAGAAACATCTATAGTGAATCTAGAAACCCTCAGTTCCAAAAAAATGTCCTAACTGATTGATCATCAATACGACCACAGGGGCACACCGCATGATGCTGTGGACCCCCGCTGCTTGCGCCGAAAAGGTCCCTTCGACCAGACCCTCGGGATTGAGAGATTGACCTACAAACATCAGAGTTCCAAATTCACATCCTTCAAACATCACCAAAGATTGAAGAATGTCCTTCACCATCCTTTTTTACATCAAACATCGCCTTTCTTTCTGTAACAACCTAACAGGCGAGTGTGGGCTCAACTTCTCAACATCACCACGTCAAAAAGAAGCAGCTCGGCCGAGATTCCAACAAAAACCCCACTTCCGTGGATGGTTTTTGGGTCTTTCGGGGCATCTCCGAACCAGCCCAAAATGACCATTCCCATCTGGGCGTTCGGACCACCATGATCTCACAAGGACCTCAGGGCGGGAGGGGGGCGCTGGGCGGAGGTTCCCCCTGTCAAAAAATTCGGCTTTGGAAGCTGATTTTGCGGTCGAACGAAGGAGAAGTTGAGACCACGCGAAACAGTGATATTGTAGAATGTCCACGAAACAGGCGAGACCAAGACCCACTGGAGTTGGGTGGTTAATGGACACCCCGAATTATCTCTAAGGACTCAGGAGCTATCAATAGAAACCCCGGCCCGGGCGTCCTGGTCTAAATAACGACCGTTGACCGACTTTCCTCGGTGGCTCATCCACTGAAAGCGAAAACTCGTTCTACACCATCCTGGCGCCGAATCTGGCAGCGGAAGACCATGCTCTCTTCGAATATTTGATGGGGTCGTCCCTGTCTTCCAGGATGCACTCAATTCATGTCACTTCTATTCGCAGAAATCGGGCAAGAATATAGAAAAACGTGAATTCTCAAATCCACCGCATGATCCAGACTTGCGCCCAGTCCGGGACTTTTTCATCCTCTCTTTGGTCGTTTCGGTCCACTTCTTCGTTCTCACGCCGCAGCGTCCAGGATGATGAGCGCCAGTTCTTGAGCCGTAAAGGGGTAGAATCGAGGGGCTCCGTCCGCGCCACTTTCCTGCCGAAAAGAAGCTCACATCACGGAGGGGACGAGAGTTGGGACGATCGAAGAGAAACAAACAGAAATGAGAACTGCTGCAGTTTGGGCTCGGGTTTGGGTGGGCTCGTATTTACAGTTTGACCAACACTCCAACTTCTCATCATGCGGATGATCCAAATCTTTCCAATGTTCCTGAAATCCAGAACCCCAAGGCCCTTGCGGCCATCCGCATGGAATCATCCGTCCCTCCCCCCACTGAAAACCGAGCCATCGTTCACGGATCGATATGGCCTACCACCCATGGAGGCTTGGACAGCCTAGGGATCTCCATATACTATATATACACGTATACGCGAACTATTTTCTCGACAATCAAAGGGCTGCGGTTTTGGTGTGAACAGAACATGAAACTGTACATTCACGCTTGTGAGCTATGTTACAAATTCTTCACAAATATACACTCTTCTCTTTGTCACTGGGAGACCCAAGCAAGACTTCTCCCAAGCTCGACCTGAAATCGGAGTGGCCTCGATCGAATTCAAGGGTCATCCCTGCAGTCAAAACAATCATGCTGGGTACCATTTCTATATATGCTATATCTTGAAAAGCATTGTATACGTATCATGCTGCTTGGACTGTGAAACGTAGAACACATGTGTGCACGTGTCGACCACATGACCAGGTCGGACCACATGAGCGACTGTACTCACATGTCCAACAGACTCTCACCATACTTGGACACCTTCTAAGAAACTAGAAACAACACACCGTCCCGAAACCGTCCCGAAACGACCGGGTGCCGGAACGCCTCGTAGCCCAGGAGGCGTTTCTGGCCATTTGACACGCACTTCAGCTTGACCTCACGGAATCTGTCGTGGGCCACGTGTGTCGACGTGCGATGAACCGCCATGCGGGCGGGGGTATCTGGAGGGAGAGGACACAGAACAGCAAGTGGCCGTGGCAAGCCTCACGGAAGGGGACAGTCCAAGCTGTCAAAAACCTTGGACATGGTATGTTGGCTACCTAAATGTGTTTTTTGGGGATTTGTGGCAGTGCGACATGGCTGTGTCAAGCACGCGCTGAAGTTCGGGAATATGGGGCTTTGCCAGTTCATCCATTCATCTACCAAACCACCGAATTGTTTGTCCCACAAACTTCAAAGGTCGTGACTATCTCCTCAATTGTTAAGTGCCAAGATCATCTCCCATCTTTCTCTGGTATCCCATTCCATGGCATCCCTGTTTACAATGTAGATGAACACCACTCTGATTCACCATTTAAAGGAGATATCGCAACGATCTGACCCTGCCAAACGACCATTTCACCCTTCTTCACCACTCTGGAAGCTCTGGCGCTCCCTCTGGCAGCTCAGTGACGGGGTTCTTGCCGTACTGCAGCGGCGGCTTCGCTGACACCGCCACCTCAAGCTGAACGCCCCGATAGAACCTCTTGGCCTCCGTCCATTTCCAGGATCCACCCATCCTGAGGGGCCGGCAGGAAGCAGCGGGCAGGGGTTCCGTTTTGAAGCCATTCGTGTGCATATTGCCATTCATATCAGCTAGCAGCTATCTGATCCTGAAACACTATTCGATACAAAAGTTGATGAACACGCTTTAGCATGCTTTAGCATGCTTTGGCTGGACTCGACGCTCATGTCAAGCTTCCAACAACCAAAACGATTTCTGGCAAACCTGTGGGCCCTTGTGGGTTCCAACCTAGTAGCGATGGCCTCCAGCCTAGAAGCGATGGCCTCCAACCTAGTAGCTTCTTGTTATAGATGGCCTCCAACCTACTGGTGGCGTGAGGCATCTCTTTCGACCAGCTTTTAGGTTGGAGGCCGTCTCTAGTAGGTTGGGGGTCATCGCTACTAGGTTGGAGGCCATCGCTTTTAGGTTGGAGTTGCATCCTGTACCCCTTCTCTAATCAAAGCAGCTGAGTGGGCCAACTCCCAAGAGGTCATCTGAATTTCCACAAGCAGCTTAGGAGCTCCTACAGCTCTATGAGGCTCGGATGTCCCTTTTTCCGCATGTCCGGTGTGCGGAAGAACCGACGGTTGTGGCCGCTTCGATCAGGTGGAGCTGCATGCGCGCAGCATGCGTGCGAGCTGGACTGCTTTCTTTTCAGCGATCCTCTTGGAGACACACACCAAATACATCGCCCCATAGGGAGAACAATTGTTCAATATCTCTCTGGAAGCATTTGGAAGTGAAAATGGATGAACATGGGGTTTTTACCTGAGATATTGCCAAATGTCTCAATACTCGTGGAAGTGAAAATGCGATCCAACTGGATTCTGAGAAGGTTCCAGTCTACCCCAGTCCCGCCTTCAAGAAAGAAACGCTGATCCTTATGGTCGTCACAGCATGTAAACCTCTCTGAGTCAACCCTCTCTGTCCTCTCGTTTCTTTCACCGGGACACGTAAGGACCAGATTGCGTTTTTTCTCCTGGATCTTCTTTCGCAACTTTTTGCCTTGATGATTCAGCGGGTCGGATTTTAACCGTGGAAAAACCATCCAAAGAAGATGCAGCCAGAACCGATCATTGAATATTTGATGATATAGGGCACATTTCTTGGTTGATGTGCTCCTGAACTTCTTTGGAATGTTGTGGAAAAAATAATCCAAATGCTTCAGGTTGCCCATCTTGATGACTTTCAGAACAGAGAGGCCTTTCTTGTGGAGTTTGGGGTGCTTCACATTGTAGTCGTAGAACTCAGCGAGTGCATCATACTTGTCGCTGACCTGGACAGGGCACAGGGGTGGAAGCTGCAAAGCAGCCAGGTTTGGAGACCCAAATGGGTCCGGGCATTTTGCATGTCCAACCCGTGCTTGCGGTGCTTGGTGAATATCGAGCTGTGGGCCAACAGAGACCACGAGGAAGCTCAAAAGCGATGTTGAACATTGATCGTCGCAGTCCACTGTGTTTTTCCTGTACTATCTATAAGGATCCAAGTACCTTCTCAGAAGGTGGGACTGGGGTGGCTGTGGAGGGTCCAAGTGCCTTCTGAGAATGTACTTGGATCCCTAGGGTCCTAGTAGTTTTTTGTTACTACTAGTAAGGCACTTGTTACTAGTAGCGATGCACTTGTTACGAACTGTTCGACCTTCCACAACCAAAAACGTTCCGTCAGCCCGCATGACCGACCTGTGCCAGGACGCTGCTTCACAGATCCGCTCGCGGAACGGTCGGAAACGGATGACCAGGGGCCGCTGCTTTGGTGGAACAACATCGGCTGACGGACGCCCCATGCCTCGTTCAGGACTCCAATCAAGTTGTTCTCGGTCAAGAACTTGCCTTGAGTTTCTTTGGCCAGCTCAGGGGCTTGCTCTGACATGAGCAGGTAGATGTCAAAGTTCACAAATTCCGGCAAACAGTCAAACCTAGGTCAAAGGGCCACCAAAATCCTGCTGGGTAAGACGTTCCTACCTGACACATCCTGGCCAATTGTCCTCCTATATTGAGAATGAGTGTGAAATGAAAATGAACATGAAAGATCTGTGTTTGAAAGGCGACGCGATGGAAGGTTATTCTTGAAGAGCCCGTGATAGCCCGTGCGGTATATACAGCGTTTCATAGTGCCCGCATTGAGGAGAGCATGACCCTCTGCAAAGTGGCGTTGTAGAGTTTTTTGCCACATAGTTGTTGTCATCGGTTTCAGAAGATAGTCGTCGATTGCGCAGAAGATAGTCATCGATTGCACAACATCGTCAATGATGTATAGATGTGGGTGGGGTGGAGGGCCAATGACTTTCGATTGGACGTGCATCTAAGATGAAGCTACATGCACACACAGACACGTTGGAAGATGGGAGGATTAGGGGGGTGGAGGGGGTGACACGGAAGTGCAAGAAGTGGAGTTCCCTTGGAAAGAACACTGTCTCAGAGAAAGGTCCCGCAGGGATGACACAAATGCAATGACAAGTGCGGACGCGTGCGAAGCAAGGGGTTCCAAAGACGTCAGTGCTGTACATAATGCATGAGACCTGACAGGGGTTAAGTAGGAAGCAAAAGGAAACACAGGGGGTAGGGTGGTTGGGTGGAGGGGCTAATGACGTTCGATTGGACGTGCATCTAAGATGAAGCTACATGCACACACGCGTTGGAAGATGAGTTTGAGCGCGTTGGAAAATGACCTTCGACATCAGGGGCGATCCACCAATGGCTCCATGACTTAGCCAGTAGTTCCTGGCAACTATCTATATTTAATCAGTTTCTTTGTTGCCTTTTAAGACCTGTGTTCATGCTAAGCTAACATCCACGCAAACACGTCGTTCTGCCTGCAAATTCCCCTTCGTCGATAACGACCCCGTGACCTTGCTTTTCCACATGATCATCAAATCGTCGGACCTCAAACTAATCGTCGCTCGTCCACCTCAACCTCGGTCGGACTGACATCTTACACATGTTTTGAGGGAAAGCCTCTGAAGCCTCAGAACCAAACCAAAGCCTCTGAAGCTCCTCAGATGGTCTGAAAACCATCTTAAACCATCTTAAACTTGACCCAATTGATCGACCAAGTGCGACGCCGGGAGACGTCAAAGTGGGGCGTTCCATTAAGAGCTGGACCAATTTCCAGGAATTGCCGGACAGCTTCACATCCTCTGGGAACTTCTTCCACATGGATTTGTAGAGTTGCAGGTAGTCCATCTTCCTGAGTCGACATAAGTGTGTTTTTCATGTGATTCGAACAGCGAGATTTGGAGTTGGTGATTCAAAAGGCTCCGGTCTCTGGTTTCTGGCAAACAGATTATCCATATGGTTCCCGACCGTTTCCCATCGGAAGCTATGACTTCTCCAACTAAATGCATACTTTTGAGCAGCTCCACATCATGCCAGGCTTCGACTTTTGCCCAGAGGTGGAGTCATGCTGCCGTGTGATGACCACTTCCCGTGCAGAACTGAAGGGCCATCCGACAGCTTCGTCCATTTCTTCCTCGACCAAACGGTCGTGTTGCACGTCCGATGAGCGCATGGCCAGAACCGTCATAAGTGGGCACAGCAGCAATGCAAAGGAGGGCGCCATGGGTGGCAAGAGAAAGTAGAGAAGACACTCTCAAACAACGAGCAGCTCGAGCAGCTTCAACCCACCAGGCAGGTTGAACATATTCAAGGAAACAGTCGTGTCTGAGCCTAGCAATAGAAGCTAAAAGACGCATTTGGGTGCCAATTCACCTGTTTCAGATCCCACGACAAAGCCTAAAATGTCTTCGCCACATTTTAAGAGCATGTCCCATCCCGCACGACTGGCCTCGGGTACACCGTCAATTCACCTGGAGACCTCTCTGGAGACGCCCTTTCGCCGCGCCCATTTTGGCGTCCGGCAGTCAGCAGACGGCATCTGAAGACTCAAACAGCGACATCCAGGACCATCAGGGCAAAATGCTTAGCCGTGAAGGGCAGGAAGCTGGAAGTCTCCTTGCTCCCCTGGCCGGACCCGACACCTAGAAGATGTACAGCAGTCTTCTTTAAGGGGAATCTTGTCTAACAAAACCCGAAACGATTATCACCAATGCCATTCCATCTCCCTTTCTTGAAGTCCTGGAAACCACCTGTCTGGTCTGATTGAACACGCTCCTCATAGTTTCAGGGGCATGCCATCCACTTAACCATGATGATTTCAGGGAGTGTAGATGATAGATCGTCATAGATCCACCCAACAACCGACCTATGCTCGGGCGCCTCAAAGCCGAGCAGGCGCGTGGACTGGGCTTTGTAGCACTTCAGCTTCACAGCTGTCTTGCCGTATTGCACAGGCGGCTTGGTGGTCAAGAAGGCCTCCACTTCGGCGGGGCGATGCGTTCCGTTCTGAACAAAAGCCATAGAACCACAAACTCAGCCGAGTTCAAAATGAGACTGTTCCAATCCATTTGTCCCTGTATATGTGAGAGGAACAAAAAATTATGTTTCTGATGTTTGTGTGGAACCTGGCAAGGTTGAAGCATGCCCTAAACGTTTTCTCCTCTCTGAGGACGTCTCCGGAGCTTTGCATCCACTGAGTGTTTGCATGCAACGAACACCGGAGCAGTTCGCGGTCCAAAATGGCGATGCAACACCACCTGTGATGGACATCAACGGGAACACCGCACGTGTGCTCGCCTGCACGTGGGTGCCTTTGTAGAAGCTGAAGGCCGACTTCCACTTCCGGGCAGCAAATCCGCCCAGCAAGTTCTGCCTGTGTTCATCCAAACGAAAAAAAAAAAGAACAAGGCGGCTCCGGGTCGCGGAAGAGCGACGGAACAGCTATCGAAGTATGCTTCAAACCCTCGACATCCATATGGCTTCTGGGCTGCTGATGAGCAGAATTCAGAATCGATGCTTCGGATGCATCTGGTCCCCACGAACCAGACGTCAAGGCATCGAATGAACATTCACAATGAGGAAGAATGGTCACAGTGACTGAACACACACAATTCGCTCTTAGTTTTTTTTAATCTGAGAAATCATGGTGGCTTGGACCCTCCACGTGGCGCTTTGGCGAACATGCCAAGGTGTCTGGTACCATGGTTTGAACTTGCTAGGAACATCCACTGACATGATTCGGTCCTTCCTGGGTCATGACTCATGACCTTAAAGATCCCAAGTCGATGAACAAGTATCTGTTTTTCTTCCTCAAGACGATTTCACCACGATGCTCAAGAGCTGAGTTCACGTGGTCTTGAGGATATTTGTCCAAAACCATGCTATCCTCTTGAGCAAGACTTGATGGCCCCGTCAAACTCGCCCTGAGAGATATGTACGCCATGCTGCTTCTTCTCTGTTATGGTCGAGCGCAGATCTTCTCCAGCCTCTCAAGGAAGCGGGTGGCCAGGAGGAACTGCTGCTTGCTGCTTGCTCTTGGTCAATGTCTGGCTTCTGCCTGAAAGTCCTTTTAAACAGATTTGAGTGCCCTAGCCTTGCGTGTCCTTTCCCTAATTGCACAGGGCTGTTGAGAAATCTCTAAATATCTCTAGTCACGCCAGGCAGATTGCTGGAGGAAACCCTTCCCCAACTATAGTCACTATTCATTCGGATAAAACCATCTGTTTGAAGTCTTCCACCCCTTCGTCTCATCCAAAACACCGGAGCCAAGTCGTGTCTGGCATTGGCCGTTTGTGGGAATCGTTGGAGGCGTGTGGACCTGTGGTGCCGAATCGTCTCCCCTTCGATCCCTTTTGGCACCCGAAGAGGTGAGTCGATGTAAAGCCGAATCTGCTGGACCTGTGGTACTTTTTCATGTACTTTCCGATGCCTTGTTGTGAGCACCGAAGATGGTTGTGAGCAAACTTAGGGTTCTTTCCTTCAGACTCCCATTCTGGGACCCGTGTCCGATGCCTGCATGACCTTGTCCAACGCCTCTTGGAGGGACATACCTGCACCATGTGGAGCAGGGCGACGCGACGGGCGCATTTTGGACGAGGTTGGGGGTCGTTCGCCGATGGTTCGGGGTTCCACCATCGAACGCAGGCACACGATGGATCTGAAAAAGGGATGACTGACTGGTACTGAGTAGGGAATGAGGGAAGTTTCGCCCCCAATAGAGATTCGGATCCAGCCACCCTCATTCTCTACTACGTACTCGTCGCACCGATGGGGACTGAAGCAAGACGTGAGGATGCCTTCCCTTGTTTCCCCGACTCCAGAGTCACAGGGCAAAACAGGTCCGCGGACGGCAAAACAGGTCCGGTCCACGAACGTCGTGTGACATGCGTTTCATTGAAGAGAATCACGGTTTAGAGCGGTGTCTGTTTCTCTGAGCCATTCCCGGGAGGCTTGCAGGAGACATGGCATATCCAACTCCAAAAGCATCTCTTTCACTGGCCAATGACCTGTGTCAGTCCCCATCTCCTGCGCTAGTTGCCAAGGCAATCTACCCTCGCAGTTCTTTTTTGCCAGCGGGGGAAGGGCTGTCTCATGTCCCTCTCCGTTCCGCAGGGTGGGTATCCATGAACCAAAAGTGGATGTGAGTGATTTCCCGGAGCCCAATTGACCTCCTAAAAGGAACCAGCTAGCCTATTCTGTTCAGGCTTCCGTGGGAACACCCCAGGTGCCCCTGGTGCCAACCCACAGACCCGAGTCTCACAGATCTTCCCTGCCAGGTCACCGTTGTAGAAGCTCTTGGCCATATTCGGCACATCCACCTTCCGCATCGCGCCCATCCACCGCGATGGTACGTTGGTCGCCGGTCGATGGGGTGATCTGGGTGAAGCCTTTTGTTTTCCGCGGAGGAAGCGGGTGGAGCAGGTGGAGCAAGGGAAAGCATGACTGGAACACGGGGTCCAGATGGGTTCAGTCTCTGAACTCTATGTGTCTGCTCTGGAAGATTCCAGGACCCTTTGAGTAGGCTCCAGGTCGACCTGGAAGCTGCCAAGGTGTGAGCCTAGCCTCCCCGGACCCGGGCTCCAGGTGGGTCACGACCAGGGCTCCCCATATGAAACTAGTAGCAAGAAGCTACTAGGAGCTCCTGGCATCGCTACGAACGGAGCGATCGGACGCTATGGCTCGCCTTATAATCGAAGACCTCATTGATCTGCTCGAAGACCCGGCTGACATCGTCCAGCATCCCAACGACGTTCTCCTCACTCACGCGGGAATCCTTGGAGAGCTCAGAGGGCAACTCGGACATCACAAGGAAGATGTCCTTGGAATGGCTGGCACGTCAAAATGAACATGAAGCAAGACATGGCAAGACCTTCTGACCTGAAGTAAGTAGTGCCACTTAAGTCACTTAACTCTGGAAGAAGGCTACTCAAGCATTCTGCTTAGACATCACCAAGAAGGGCTGGAAGAAATTCTATTCTGATGGCTTTGTCTCAACATGAGCAGCACCCCTAAGTTAAACATCCCGAACTCCCTCAGAAGGTAAAGTGGTCTGGGAAAGAACAGCAACACATGGGGGACTAAAGTGAATAAACATAGAATGTAATAACTATAACATATGTCTGTTGCCTTTGAGATCCATGCTTCATCTATACCCTGAATCCTCAACGAGGCATACAATGGCATACATAGGCATGGAAAAATACCATCCAATACCCGAGTTTTTGCCAAGAGCTTTCGTTTTGCAGCCTTTGGTCACTCAAAACGATGGATCGTCCTACCGACCCATGATGCCCGTGATGTGCCGGGGGCCGGGCCATTTTCTCAGGGTCTTGTCTATGCAAGTGACAGTAATTGTAATGTAGTTGTATAGTTGTCTATATACAGCAGTATACAGAACATAGAAGCTACTAGGTGCTCTTGGCCTTACTACTAGGAGCAAGGACGCTACGAACGGAGCAAAGGGCATCGCTACTAGTAGCAAGGAGCTACTATAGTAACAAGAAGGCCACTAGTAGCTCCTGCCCGGAGCCCCGTTCGTAGCGTCCATCAACAGACCAGGTCTCCGAATCCTGGTTTGCTTCTTCACAGTCAAACGCCAGCGTCGGCTTCGTGAGCATGAGGTCCACGATGCTCCAGGAGTTCCCCGACATCTTCACATCGTAGGGAATCTTCTTCCACATGGATTTGAAGAGCTCTACATAGTCCATCTTCCTGAGATGACTCATGCGGCACCAGGGTTCAGGGCGGGTCAGAGATGACTCTACACCTGGCGTGTAGTAGAACTGTAACAACCCCTCAAAAATAGGCTCCCTCTACTGGCCCCTCTCAATGTCCAAAATCAATCATAGACTCAGAATTGATCAGGTCCTCGTCGATCCTTTCATGCCCCATGACTAAGCCGTCTTAGACCCCAGGAACAGCTCTCCAGGCCGTCTCCGGGAAGTGCCGTTCCATGACAAACTGCATGTAAATTAGATAGTATAACTTTAATAATTTCTTTATATATATATTCCAGGGAATCTAGAAAAGAAATAGGTTTGTTTCTTTTCTAGAATTCCCTGGGTCCCTGGCTTGCGGAACGTCCCTCCGAACATCCCCGAAGCGTTTGTTTGCTCCAGGCTTCAACTTACTTCCAGACGTCGAATCATACTGCCGCGTGATGACCACGTCGTCCGAACTGAATGGCCACCCTTCCTGCTCGCTTCCTTCCGATGCCCGCATGGCCATCACCGTCACCACTGGGCACAGCAGGAGAACAAAGGAGGGCGCCATGTGTCGCGAGAAGACACGAAACAAACAACGGGGGCGAGTCGCAAGTGGACTTGGGGTGGGTGCACAGCTCCGCGGCGAGGTCTCCGGTGCGCCGGGCGGCGTTCGCAGCGATCACGCGGTCGTTCCCAAAGGTGTTTCGACGCCAGAGACCGGGGCGGGATTGCTCCCCAGAGGGGTGCTGGGTCACAACATGAACACACGGTACCCATTCTCCAACAACCCATGTATGGAATCTTTACCTACATTGACCCTTGAAACATCTTAAATCTACCCATCCATCCAGGCAAATCCTTTATATAATAGTAAAAAATACATCTTTGTATACACAGCAAGGGCTTAAAGATCCACCGTCTCCGCACAGTGGGAGAAGTTGTGGGTTGAAGTTCGGTGTCTCATCATGCGATTCTCTCTCTCTCTCTCCTTTTGCCTTGTGAACTTAGCTAAGGTGAGAGAGACCCAAGGACCTTGGACACTCCAGGGGAGTCGCGGATTCGCTTCGAGTCGACGCAAACCCTTCTCAGAGCCCACAGACGAGATTGACCCATCCGGATGAAGACGGGACCCTGAAGGGTCCCGTCCTTCAAGGTCATCGGCATCGGTCTTCCAAAAACATGCCATGCTCCTTCAAGGTCTCCACAAGTCTCTATAGAAAAGCTATGAGAAAACCAGCCATCCCCTCACGATCGCCGGCCGAGTGTCCAGTGTCCCACTCCGCACTCCGCACATCTCCGCACTCTCCGCGTCCGGGTCGTTGGGATCCCGGGCCGGCCGCTGCGGCGCATCGACTCGTCGACTCGTTCGGGCACTGCGCGACGCTGCTCGCGTCGCGGCGCTTGAGGCACTCAAAAGCTGCGCTGGAAAAGCAAAGACCTTTGAGGTCTGAAGGCGGAGTGTAGAACGAGGACAAAGGTGGTCCAGTACATGAATTGTGCAATAAGATCATTGGCGATCATAGCCATATCATGTCATATGTGCCGATATTCTTAGTATACTACTGTTAATAAGACTGAGATAGACTAAGAGGCTTATTACACTGTTGATGGATCAAACTCCGTGAATACCCATAGAAGAGATCATTCACACGCAGGGGCCATGAGGAAAAGCACAGGGCGTCCATTCCATTCGGAACCACAGGGCTGCAGTGAATCAAAACCTCAACCAGCCTCATTGGGCCAAGATGCGAACGAAACATGGAAAACGGTCACATCCTGGCTGCCAGTTTCTCAAGTTCCCCTATGTTCCCACTCGATCGATGAAACCAAAACCAACGCCTTTTGTTCGGAATCAATGACGCACCATGAAACAAAAAGAACGGAAGCGACCGCTTCGACCTTCGGTCTGCATCCGACCATCTCGAGGTCTTGCGACCGGATTCCGCGCATTCCGCCCACCCACGTCCCGTGTCCACTCCTGCCTCGCTGGTGCACGGCACGAGAGCTGGTGGCGGTGCGCGAACTGCGCCGCAGGGGTGGATCCAGGGGGTGGCTGGAGTCGAGTGGGGGGGAGAGTTCTCATGCACTGGATGGGAGGTCTTTCCGGAGGCCGCTAGTAGCTTGGAGGCTATCGCTAGGTTCTTGACAAAGGGTGGCTGGATTCTTGGGACAGCCGACCCTGAGGCTACCAAGAGTCAAGCACGAACATTTGGGTTTCCAACAACGCGAACCGAACGGAACGGCATCGCGACTCGAACGGAGCGATCAGACGCGAACCGAACGGGGCTCCTGGCATCGCTACCAAGCATTCTTACTGCGAACGTAACAAGAAGCCACTAGGGGCTCCTGGCCTTACTACTAGGAGCAAGGACGCTACTAGGAGCAAGATCCATCCAACCCTTCGACATCCTTCGACCCAGCTCACCTTCGACCCATCCCCAGCTCGAACGCGGCTCGCCCAAAAAAAGACAAGATCGACTTTTACTCCTGAAAAGGATATGACTTTTCTATCTACACAGGAGCTACGTAGTCACTAATTATGTAATATAATGAGCATGAAGAACAATTCAAGAAAAACACCGAAAAAGAACCTGTTCTCGGCCGAACATGTTCTCAGCTGCCCGAGCATCGCCTGTGGGTTCCCTCATCCTCGATCTCCTGCTTCAGCTGCCCGAGCCGCGCCTGGTACGTGTGTTTTCTTAACGCCGAGTAAACATCGACACGGGCGCCGAAAAGCCAGCCCTGCTGGAAGAAGCCTTCTTGGAATGTCACATATATGGTAATAGCTGTGCAACACAGATGGTAAAACCATATCAAAATGTAAAAATTAACCTTAAAACCACCATAAAGGCCGGAGTACCCCAAACGTGCTTCCTGTTCCAGCCACAATCTCTTTATCTCTCTTTTGTGTCCAAAGGGAATGGCAGAAAATGGTAGTTGCAAACACGTGGCGGAGTTCAGTTCATGTACCTTTCCCGTTGACATTCAATCTTTCAGGGCTTGTGTGAAACCGCACAGGCGTGAAATATTGAAAGAAAAAAAGTGAGAAGATGTTAGAAGAAAGAATGTGGGGACTTTCTCCTTATCCTTCCAAGCTGCGAAAACAACAGGTCCGAGCCACAACAATGATAAAGCAGTATGATCCCTCGAAGATCGCGGCGGCTTTTGCGCGGCCGCGATCTTCGTGAGATGGTACTGTGGGCAGAAGACGTTGGGGCTGGGTTCACTTGAGACCTGACCACTTCTATCTCGCGTTTCTAGTTCGTGCATTTTCTGACACAAAGTGGTCCAAATCTACAGAAAGAGCAAGAGCAACAGGCCAATGTACAAAGCATGAAAGACCACTTCAGTATAGATTCTATCGATTAGTGAACACGTGTGTTTTTCCATCTTCCTGGACAGCGGAGCTTGCACACCCATTGAAGGAAGGTCTGTGCGGGGTCCATAGAAATAGACATTGACTATCAGTAACTGGGAACTTGAAAGACCATCATTGACTATTATTGAAGAACATGATAATCATCATCACTAAAAAAAAGAACACATCAATGATCGTCAATTGGGTTTGGTCTTCTTAAGCATCTATCCAGTCTGCTCCCCACCCGTCAGACATGCTTCAAACATCAACGCCTCACCAGGCTTGAAGCTCACGGGCCGTGCAGCGCTCTTCTGCACCTGCGTGGGAGGTGCCCTGCCGGCTAGACCGGTCAAGCAGCCTTCATCCAGTTGCTGCTGAATGAAAGCAGCCGAAAGAGGCTCACTAGGTCTCGAATTTCCTAGAATTTCCTCGCAACCAGTGGAACCAAAAACCACCTGAAATTTTAGCTGAATCCCTGCTGACCACGCTCACCTTGCACCCCAGTCCGGAACCAACCTTCCCCCAAAAGTGCCGGGTCCAGTGTGGCTTTCTCTGAATGATATGCGACCTACTTCCCGTTGCTTCACCGGAGTCCAATTCGGCACGTCGGTCGCATGAAGTTCCGGCTCGTCTGTCTCTCTCCCCATCTACCGGATGAGCTCTGGGGGTCATGGGAGGATCAGTGGCGAGGTGCCTTCCTACGAACGTAACAAGAAGCTACTAGTAGCTCCTGGCATTACTACTAGACTAGTACTATCTAGTACTAGCATCATGAGAGTAAAGAATTCAGCCACAGTGCAGCAAAGTACTTCAAATCACAGGCCCTTCCAACAACCCACTCCAACTTTCTTGCAAGGTGAGAGGCTATCTGACGGTCAAACATGTGGTGGATATGGGTGTCCTACTGGGTGTCCTCTTTCAACCAGAATCATTTGGTACAGCTTTTGAAGCGGAAAAGCATAAAGCTCTTTTTCTACATCGCCATTCCATCTCCTCAGCCTCTGCTGGTGTTCCATCTCCTCAGCGAGGTCTGCAGGAAAAAAACAACACCTTACAGTAGATGACAATGTCGCGAAAGAAGAACGCACTGATTGCTGTTGGGACAGGGATGTTATCTAATCTAGGTGCCGGTGCGACTGAGTTGAGTTCGGGCTTTATCAAGGTTTCTCTATACTACATATATATATATATATATGTATATACCAGGACCCTCCAAGGGGTGTCCAATGGACTACCCCACACTACCTATAGGCTTCCATTGGGCACCCCTTGGAGGGTCCTGGTATAGTTGAATACTTGACAGTTCTTCGATGGGCCCAATGGGCTTCAGAGCGGTCTGCACGGGAGGTGAAGTTTGGGATGGCCTGCCCCTCCAGCACTTTGTTGGGTTGCACGACCCTTTCGACTCTTCCTTTGGTGCCTGGAGTAGTCCAGAATCCTCTGACTCCTCACCTCGTCCAGACCGCCGCGCTTGGATGGTCCATCACAGGGTCGAACGGAAGCTCTGCTGCTTGGCATGTCCCAAACCGCCTCACCGGCGCCCCGATCGAAGCCGCCCACCCGCCCGAAGCAAAGCGTGAAGCCCGCGTGGGCCGCCACACCTCTTGTTCTGCGGTCTCATGGGTCTGGTTTTGGGGTGAAACCGGATCTTCCATTCGTTGGAATCCGGCAGAGCGGACGGGCGGAAAAGGCCACGTGAGCTTCGCCATGCCATACAGCCACTGCCTTGAGCGTTAAAGCTGAGGTCGGATCCTAAACCCAAATTCGCCCTGTAGCACCTGAATCAAGGGATTCAGGTGAGGATTTCAATCTCGGGATGAAATGAACCTGCATCGCAGATTAACCTGCAGAATACAAGCCTCGTTTCCTCTACTCCTGGAAGCGACCACAAAAAAGGAGCTGGGGCTTCCCAAATGGTCGGTCTCTTCTTCGTCCAACTATACTAGATGCGACTACATATATGCGACTGTGACTATATATAACTATAAAGTATACTAGATGCGACTACATATATGCGACTGTGACTATATATAGCCGTTTTATGATAGATGTCGTTCACCTTAGTAGCCTTAGTTCCATTTAAACCCAAAAACCAACACGCCTGATGTGTCATCGGTTCGGGTCCGATCGCTCCGGACTTCGATGCCGCTGTCTTCACCTCTGGGGACTTGGCTGTGCTCAACTAGTAAGGCCCCTGTTTCTAATAGCAA